ACGACATGTCCTCAAAGTTACAACAACTGCACCACTTTTCCAATCACATGATCACATTTTGGGTGCTGGGCCACTGGCTCACATTTATGACCTTTGCAGCATTCTGCAGTTAAGCAATTGCATTTTGCAACTTTTTTTCCTTCTGTTTTCCAGCAAAACATGGCAAAAATGCCCATTGGATAAGCTGGATCCAGATTTACGGCCATGTGGTTCACTTAACAATCGTAATGACTTACTTAACGACCATCATAAAATGGCTGCAAAATCAAACCTGGTCACCATGAGATGGCTGCAATGACTGCAATTTACTACCAAAATTCTGGGTTGTAAATTGAGAATTACCTGTAATCATCATCATTTTCTTTTAACAACCCCATAATCCCTTGCAGGGTGGAATCTGGGCAACTGAATGGAGCTAGCAGAGTTTTTAATGGCCAGATGCCCTTCCTGTTGCCAATATGGAGTTTTGTTCAGTAGGTAATATTCTCAGTGGGCCCAGAGAGAGAAATATCTGCCTCTACCTAGGATCGAACTCACGGCCTCCTGATTGTGAGGCGAGAGCTCCACCTCTAGGCCACCGCACCACTCCTGAGAACTTGGAGGTGGAAGTCTGTCTGGTTTCATAGCAAGTGAAAGGACAAATCTTCTTTAATTTCAGTAAAAAGACAGAATAATATTGATTTGGCTTTTATCCAGTTTGATGCCTCTAAACCAGGGGTGAAATCCACTTACCTTTGCTACTGGTTCAGTAGCAATTCATTCGCACATGCCACCTCTGCGCATGCGCAGGACCTTCCGTGCATGCACAGAGTGTCAAAATGACATCTGTACGGGTAGGCGGAGCCTGCTACTAGCGCGCCTGGCAAGCAAGTCAGCAAACAGCGAGGTAAGCAAACAGCGAGGGGGGGGGGAGTCCGCTGTGCCACGTTGTTTAGATTAGCTAGAAAGCAGGAACTCTTGCTTTCTAGCTGATATAAATCAAGTGGCACACACAGCTGATTGTCAGAAAAGCCGGTTCACCTGGAACGGTAGCATTTTTTTTTACTACCGGTTTGGGCGAACATCTGGCACATTTGCTACAGGTTCAGGTGAACTGGTCCGAACCAGTAGCATTTCACCTCTGCTCTAAACCTGCATTCTTTAAAACGATGAGCACTATTAATTGATTTGGACTATTTTCAGCCTCAGAATCCAGTAAGTGTCAGGCGTGCCTCCTTCAATAACCAAGAAAGAAAACTCCCAACTCCGTTGTTTGTGGAATTAAAGATACTTTTAACTGGTTATGAAAAGATAGCGAAAGAAAAGCAAGATCTGAGCCAAAAAGGCACAAACATGTACATATCAAATGTTTGCCCAGCATCCTCTCCCCCCCCAATCACCCCAACTCAATGACAAGTCTGCAACTCCCAAAGGTGTCATGTGGGGTGCATCTTCAAAAACCTCATTCAGTTGGTATGCAGATACGGTTGACCTTGACCAAGTCCAAACACGGGCCATCAGCATGCACAGAAGGTGGCGAGAACCAATCTCCCTCCTGATAACTCCTCCAGCACCATAAATTCCCCATCCCAAATACCTCAAGGCCCCTCCCTCCCCGTTTCTATGGCAGCCGATAGCAAGGAAGCGAAGTAGAGGCTGACAGTACGTCTCCTGGTTTGGACCTCAGCTCTGTTGCCATCCATATTGTGACTGAGATCTTGAAAATGCGGTGAGGGTACACAAGAATGTATGGAACGAGCTCCCCGTGGAGATCAGGACCCCTACTACCCTCCCGGCCTTCCGTAAAGCTACTAAATCCTGGCTGTTCCGGCAGGCTGGGGGCTGTTAAAGCACCCAGCCCCGTCTTAACTGTGACTGTTGTGGATTTTAAAATTGTTTGTTTGTATTGTCTTATTTATTCCCTCCCCTGTTTATTGTGAGCCGCCCGGAGTCTTTCGGGAGTGGGCGGCATACAAAACCAATAAACCTAACCTAACCTAACTCATTTACTTCTCATCTTGCTTCTAGAGCTAAGAGTTGGAAGCCTTTTTTTTTTAAAGACAGACTAGACGTGTCCATAGAGGTTCTGTGAAATATTGCCAAACTTTATTTTTCCTGCCCCCCCCCACCCCCTTTTCACCCTTATCAGATGCCATTTTACGGGACAAAGGTGAAATCCAGTAAACATGCTCTCATGACACGTGGCACGACAGAACCGCGCTCAACTAAAGCGCGCCCGATTAAACCGCGTCGCTGACATCATCAACAGGGCGACAACAGCGA